GTATATTGTTTAATATAATCTACACTCAGCTACTTTGAAATGAAATCACACCATATTCCTTTATTCATCTTTAGCCTTCCAGATTTTCCCAGTTGATTAGATGATTCATGAAGTATTATTCTCACTCAGATTAATGTACTACATGACTGACCCTATTGTAAAAGTGGAAGAAATGTACAAGGGGATTCCTCATTACCTACCTCAACTTATGTATATGTATGGTTGTTCAACTTTCAAAAATAAAATCATGGCAAAAAGAAATTTCCTTCACTGAAGTCCTTCTATGTCATAGTGAAGACCGTTAATCTTTAAGTAGAGACCTTGATGTCAGTAACGTTTTACAACTAGAATGACAAACATTGGTAAAAAAAGAAGTTACTCGAATGGACCTTGAGTAGGTGCTTTAGTAGATCTACTTATTTTATGTTTCTATCATTATTCATGGTGTCTAATGTCATACAAACTTGAAGATCTACAGGCGAAAACTAACAAGTTGACATAAGAGGCAGGGCAGGGTAGCGAAGACGGGACTTCAAGTGAATATAGAGAAGACAGAGGTTATGAGGATACCCAACCCACAACAACGGCAACAACAAGCTCCAGTCACCATCAAGGGGAGAAACTTAAAGGAAGTAGCCTCTTTCACCTATCCAGGTAGCACCATCTCAACTACAGGCGGCGGTACAGACGAGGAAGTCAAAGTCAGCCAGGGTCGCAGGACAGCAGGACATGCATTCATTAACCTGAAATCAATGTGCAGATCTTCTGCACTACACTCACCATAAAGCGTAAACAACATACGGATTTTTAACACCAACGTCAAGTCAGTGATGGTTGGGAGACTTTGCGAGTTACGAAAGGCATTTCCAACAAACTACAGACATACATCAACTATTGCCTAAACTGGCTCTTCACTGAAGCTCAAATTGCCAGAATAACAAGAATAAGCAAGGAGGAACTGTGGCTGGCTGACTGACTGACTGGCTGGCTGGCTGGCTGGCTGGCTGGCTGGCTGGCTGGCTGGCTGGCTGGCTGGCTGGCTGGCTGGCTGGCTGGCTGGCTGGCTGGCTGGCTGGCTGGCTGGCTGGCTGGCTGGCTGGCTGGCTGGCTGGCTGGCTGGCTGGCTGGCTGGCTGGCTGGCTGGCTGGCTGGCTGGCTGGCTGGCTGGCTGGCTGGCTGGCTGGCTGGCTGGCTGGCTGGCTGGCTGGCTGGCTGCTGGCTGGCTGGCTGGCTGGCTGGCTGGCTGGCTGGCTGGCTGGCTGGCTGGCTGGCTGGCTGGCTGGCTGGCTGGCTGGCTGGCTGGCTGACAACGAACCAACCAAGAATCTATCGCTCAACAACAAATATGCAGAAGAAAGTGGAGACGGATTGGGCATGCACTGAGAAGACCATTCAGGGAATTCACGCGTTAGGTACTCGAGTGGAACCTGAATGGGAAACGACGAGTTGGTCGTCCGAGGTGAGGAAGACATGGAGGAGATGGTGTGAGGAAGAAATGAGAGCTTGTGGGCAGTGGTGGAGCCAGGTTCAAGAGATTGCAGAGAAGAGAGCACAGCACTGGAGACGTGCTACTGAAGCTGTATGTTCCACCAGGAACCCAAGGGACAAAGAATAATAATAATAATAAGGGGAACGAACTCATGAACTGGGTCAATAGTAGAATAACATCTATACTAAAAATCGCTTTCTCAGCAAGTGAATTAGTTTCCGTATGGAACACAAAGTGTTCACTATAACAATCAAAAGTCGATAGGTTTCCGTTTGATGTGACTTCAGACCGTATCTATCAATTCATATATCAAAGCACGTTAACTGGAAGGACAAAGAGGAGAGGTGAGAGTAGATTTCTTGGACATATTCAAAATAAGTCAAGCTTAAAGGAGTCAAACAACTTTAAAATTTTCACTACTAAACATCTTATGAACATACGACACGATATCCATATATCAAAGGCGTTTAAAATAATCAACAAACAAAACAATGCTAAGTTACTAAGATCCTCAGAAGCAATTGCCATCAGAAGAGTTAAACTACTCACTTTTACATCCAAAAGAAAAGCCAGTTTCATAGCTTTTAACTTCCGTGATAACCATTATCTCTTATCAATGGACTATCATCTTCTGGATAAGTAAACTATGTGCATTGTACTTCTGTCTCTATATATTTGGAAAAAAGACTGATTTAGCGGGTGAAGAAATATATTCCTTTTTTCAATTAGGTCTTCATCTTAGGCTGTACACTAATATATCGATTTACAATTTAACCAAATTACCAATCAAGTGGTGGGGGTGGTTAGTGAATAATAATCATAGAGGTTTAAGTAAGTCATAAACATGATAAGTTTTAGAAATTAACATGTTAATAATCAACAGAGTAATTAAAATTGGCAATATGAAGCAGGTTATTTTTTAGATAAATGGAGTGATTTTTGATGAGTATAGAGTTATAAACAATAAATAATTACTTAACAATAAGAAAACAAATGAATATTGACTTAAAAACAAGAGAGGGGAGAGGTGTAAAAAGTAATACTAGTTGATGACCATGGTAATGGAAGTGATCGAACAAATTTATTTTGAATGCAAAGATTAGGTTTGTAAAGATGGATTGCAATCATCTCTGCTATGTGAAATAAGCCAGTGTGCAATCCATGTGATAAATTAATTGGTATGTGATGAATAATCTTGAAAACATTTCTAATATCTAATTGATATCCCGTGTCAACTAGATGTGCAAGTATGGAGCTCTTTATTGTTCTCATTTGTCCCTTATTATTACTATTTGTTCTTTGGGTTCGTAATGGAACATAAGGCTTCAGTAGCACGTCTCCAGTGCTGTGCTCTCTTCTCTGCAATCTCTTGAACCTGGCCCCACCACTGCCCAAAAGCTCTCATTTCTTCCTCACACCATCTTCTCCATGTCATCCTCGACTCGGACGACCAAGTCGTTGCTTACCATAGGGGTTCCACTCGAGGGGCTGCACTGACGCTTGATATCCCCAGTTGGCCTTCCCAGTGTATACCGAATGCATCTCCACTTCCTTCTGATGCATATTTGTTGGGTAATAGATTCTTGGTTGGTTCGTTGTCAGCCAGCCAGAGTTCCTTCTTGCTTATTCTTATTATTCTAGCCATCTGAGCTTCAGTGACGAGCCAGAGTAGGCAGTTGTTGATGAATATCTGTAGTTTGTTTAAAATCCCTTTTGTCCCTTGCTCAACCATAATGGATGGTACTCAGAAATTCTAAGATGGAACTCCCTCATTGTACTTTCAACGTAACTAGCTCCACATGAGCATTTGAAATGATAATGCACATAGAAGTGGCAGAATCATGTAGTTTGTCTTTATTTCTTGAACCTAAAAAAGCGCGGTTATCGACTGGGAACGCTTTTTGCAAGACTTTTTTTATGCACTGTGTGATGATCTGACTGGCAGTGTCACTCTTAAATTTCAGCTTTAAGAATATTACCTTCTTAGGAACCGTTGGCTTTCTCGTCTTAACCTTCATATACTTAGTCACAAACTTGTATAAATAGCCATTCCTACTAAGCAGGTCACAGATGGTGGCAAACTCTCCATCTATAGCATCATCTGAGCAAATAGCTGTGGCACAGTATGCTAGAACCCAAGGTGGAAACCTAATTGAAAAGGAATATATTTCTTCACTCACTGAATCAGTCTATTTTCTAAATGTCGAAATATAAATATTTAATCTCTGTATATAATTTATGATTCTATAGCCTGAAAAAAGTCGATGAAATACACTGATTTCATGGTATTCTTCAAAATTTATTGTTCTAACTTAGCTAAAGCAATACAATATCTTCACCAGTGATGAGTTCAAAGAATAAGTAGTCTAATAGTGTAAACGCTAAAAGAATCACCTCACCTATACAGTTTTTCATCATTCCTAGATTCCTACAATTTTTAAAGACTCATCAAAATGATTTTCTTGGTGCTTGGTGCTTTACATGGTACACATACACCGTTGTAACTAAGCAAAAGAACTGAAATCACTTACAAGATTCTCTACTTCAAACTACAACAATAAATTTAGTATAAAATACTAAAAGTTGATTTTAAAAATCTACCGATAAGGCGTTAACATTTGTATTATTCTTCATTGTGCTATTTCTTGTTTATACATTCACAATAAAGTTAGAGGAATGTGACTAAGACCTTCAGAAAAAAATTCAGAGGACCTCCACTTGTATGATCCTTGAGACGGATAGTGTGACTTACAAACAACGACTTGATTAGTAGAACCTCTTCTCCTTATCATATCTCAGACACAGCAGACCTTTAATAAGTGACTTTATACCTCACCTCTCTTCTCCTTTCTTTTCCACCAGGTCAAAACACCTAAAGGAACATAGCAGCGGAGCATAGAAGGAGATAGTGAATGTCGTCTTCATAAAGTTCTCGTTTTCGTATACAGGATTCAACTCCTGGAACCAACTCCCAAAAGAAGTAGTGTAAGTGCCATCAACTGATACATTCGATAAAGAACTGAACAAGCACAGAGATCCACTAGAAAATATTTATTATACACTAATCGTCTTCTATTCTCAAACTATGAATCTGAACTAAGCGGAAAAAGGGAAACCGCTTACAAGATCCCTCACTTAGAAGTACAAGTAATACATTCAATAACAAAAAACAACATTAACAATTAAAGTTGGTTTTTATTATCTACTAACAAAACGCTAACATGCTTGTCATTTTTCCCTGTATGATTTCAACTTCTCTTGTTTTTATATTTGAAATAAAGTCAGAGAAAAATAAATAAAAATAAAAACTCTTATCTGTAACTTAAAACAAAATCACCAAAAGTCAAAATCCATCTAAACATAATAAGATATAAAATAAAATCTCATAAAACGAAAGTAAGAAAGACATAAGCAAATTGTCTATGGCGCTATTTCAATGGTCAAGGTCATGTTGTTTGAGTTTATCCACTGAAACAAAAATTAATATATAAGATTTCCAAAAAATTAGTCTTTACGAAAGATATTTATGAACTAAATCTCTTGCTTTTGTGTATTCTCCATAACTAGAATATGGATGAGCGCATACTTCTAAATCACGTGTTGTATTGCCAAAGTTTTGACCAACTTGAAATTTATAACCTGTTCAATCAAAATAAAAAATCAAGTAAGATTAGTAAGCTTGCTAGTTTATTCTATCAAATGTCAGAATTGTCTTGGTTGCATTTTGAACAGTGCTCTTCAGTAGATTCACTATTAGTTGCTTCAGCACATTTTCAGACAAGTACTTTATTATTTCTCTGATTGATGGATGAACATCTACCAAATGCTTCCAGATGAATTCCAGCTCACCTTTTGTTTGATATTTGTTATCCCCCTATTCCTATACTGGATCGAATCACTCTACGACTGTTCACTTTCTTCAATTGATACCTTTTAGTCTAAGCAGTCTACTTTTCGTCTCCGAAAATCACTTGTTTACAACTACAGTTGATGGAACAGACTGCTAGGCCACCTATGAAGGCATTTTTTACACCACTTACTAGTTTTTGTAACAGTGCTTCACTTTGGTTGTCTTACATTAGAGTAAGTGTCTTGCAATTGCAACACTAATCCCAATAACATTAGAAATGTATTTTCAAGCTATAACTTTTAACTGCAATCTATTCAGGAGTGTATATATTAAGACCAATATTTGTAAAGACTATCTATTTGATAGTATATTAAAGCTGCTTGAAATGTTTTTGAATTGATTTTCATTCTACAGTAGTTTGATCCAGGTGGATATGCATTGCTGAGGAGTCCCATACAAGAACGAAACAGCTATTTAATGTTCCCAGGTCTTCTTTGGTTCTCTAACGCACAATCCGTGATGAATGAAACCTTGAGAGCCTACAAACACCCACTCTGATCTGCTGTCTCGTGCTCCCTACTAATATGCTTCAAGATACATTTCAGGAAGTTCTAGTAAGAAGTCGTGACTTGTAAGCTCAATCAAGTGGAATGTGAGGCAAAATGCTCATAGATGTAACTGGATGATGGTTGCAGTATTTGGTGAAGTAACAGAGGTAGGGAAATCCGGATCACCGGATCCTAACACAGTTGTTGAGTGACAATATACTCGTCACGAGATGTGAGGGTTCTATCCCTAATGTTGTCACGGGCGTGCACCACTGGGAAGTTTTACACTAGGAACAAACACCTGTATAGTGCTTCCAGGTTCGCACTGGTTTCTCACCTGATATCAGTCAGTTTTGCTATGTGAACACAAAATGAAGTGACATGACACAGGCATAGGTTTAAGTCACTGAGGAAATATCAGTTTCCTCATAGATACAGATACTTCTTGCTGAGTTCAGGACTTCACCATCTAACACCAAAGTGGATGAATCAATTTCTGATCAATTCATGAAGACCCCATCTTTAGAGGATAAATAAGATGTCAGAAATTCACCTTTCTACTTTATCCTAGCTTTACAAATATACATCGGTTGAAAATCACCATACACAAGTCATATCTTAGCCTTCAAATAATGATCTTTGAAAACCCCAATCTGTTGATAAACCACAAAACTGCCCATTACTATTCCTGAAAATGTAGTGAACTTCAGTTAGCTTGCGCATACTCATTTCACCTTCTGGCTGTCTTTGTTCATATTACATATGACTCATAATGTATAGTTTTTTTCTGTTAGCAACCATGACATCATCATCTTCAGTATAAAGCAGATCATAAATTTTCCTTTGAATTCTTCAGTTTTCAAAGGCTATCAAAGAAATTAGAACTTCATTTTAGTTGAACATAAAGGTACTCCTAAAAGAATCTGACTTATCTGTCAGATGGAAATGCTTCCATATTATATATTTATTATTATTAGTCCCTTGGGTTCCTAGTGGAACATAGGGCTTCAGAAGCACGTCTCCACACCACTCTGTTCTCTGAAATCTTTTGAACCTGGCTCCACGACAGCCCATAACCTCTCATTTCCTCCTCGCACCATCTCCTCCATGTCACCCTCGGCACCGACGCCCAACTCGTTGCTTCCTATGGGGATTCCACTCGAGCGACTGGCCTGACGCGTGATGTCCCCAGTCGGCCTTCTTAGTGTATGCCCAATCCATCTCCATTTCCTTCTGCATATTTTTTGGGTGACAAGTTCTTGGTTGGTTCGTTCCTAGAGCTCCTTGTTGCTTATTCTTTCTGGCTAAATGTTTCCACACGCTGAAGATGAATTTCTTAGTTGGAATAAACAGAATTTGATTCACTAATTGAACAAGTTTTTTACTTGTTAACCAACAGACAGACAAAAGCAATGCTGAACCTTGCATATCAGTTCTATTCGCCACACTTCACAGTGGGATACAAAGAACAGGTGAATAGAAAAAGAGTGATATATTAAAGTAGACAGAGCTGTGTGAGTGAATAAACAACTTTGAGAGGAAGGTTAGTGAGAATATTTAAGCTTTAGAAGATGTCAAGGAGTAAGTACATCTGCACCATTGTGACCGGTTTTCAGAGATATCACAAAGATTTTCTAACCACTGATTCCTATCATCCCGGGGACCCCACAACCAGGCAGTCTACATCTCCTCTTACCGATCAGGCCATTCGTGGCCTACTGGTGCCACGTTTTGGTTCGGTCACTTTGAATCCTCTTACAATTTAATCCAACTTCCCCTACGATCGCACGTCAAAGCAGGTGGTGGTTCAACATGCGTATTACATGTCCAAACCACCTCAGTAGGTGAAGATTCACAACCTCATCAGTCAATCTGCCGATCTAACCCAGTACGTTTCACTTGACCTAACATTGCTCACACGGTGATTCCACCACATGCCAGTAATGCTACGAAGACATTTGTGATCAAAACCCTGTTATCGCTTCATATCTCCTACTTCAACAGCCATGTTTCACAGCTGTAAAACAGCACAGAACGGACTGCAGAGGAGTTTACTCATCTTTTGGTTGGTAGTCAGATATCTCACCACTCTAGGCTACAGATGACACAAGTTGGCAAATGCCAAACGGGTCTTCTGTTTCCTATGTGAGATTTCGTCAGCAAACAGCCCCTTCCAGCTGATCCAACTCCCCAAGTAAGTGAATTGGTCAATACATTTCACCATTTCACTCCTTATTATTAAAGTGGGAGTATTTGTACCAGAACAGTCCTTAGGCGTAATGTTACACTTCACAGATACCAACGAAGCGCATGCCAAACATACTCAGATTTCTGCTCAATGCATTTATAACACCCTAGAACTTGTCGCCGTCTTCACCCAGTAGGACAATATCGTCTGCCTACTCCAAGTCAACCAGATGACCACCAGGGGGCAGATCTATCCCACTGAAGTGAGACATGCTTAACCATATGTCCACTAGTACGTCTATAACCAAGTTAAGTAGAAACGGCGACAGTAAGCATCCCTCGCGTACACCACTGGCTGTCGTCAATTCATGTGACAACTCTCCATAATCCCTTACAGGGTTAGAGGTCTTTGATTAGAGTTATATACTCTCTCGACACTCCGTTTACAGTCAGACACTACCACAACACCTCACGGTCAACTGGGTCAGATGCTGCCTTCAGGTCAAGAAATATGGCAGGTGTCGGCCATTGGTCGGTAGATATGCCTGTGTTCCAGAATCTGTCATAGGGTGAAGATGTGTTCAGTGCACCCTCGTCCATGCCTGAAACCTGCTTGGTTTTCTCGAGTTTCCTATTCTTAAGCTCCAGTAAAGCGTCAGATAACTACTGACCCTAGGATCTTGGACATAATGTTAGTCAAACTAATTCTTCTATGCTTGTCACGAGTTCTTATATATTGGGATGATCAGAGAAGTAGACATGTTTGATGGCACTTCCTCTGATTATCATACACTGCCTAGTATCTCCGTCACTTTTATTAGTCATTTCCCATCTCAATCACTAAAAACTTCAAGTGGCAAACCGTAAGATCCTACTGCTTTGCTTCGCTCCAGATTCTATAAAGCCTTCTAAAATTTAAGAAGAGTTGGATGACCGACATCTGTATCTTATTCAGGCTCAGACTGTATGTGGGGCAACTGAAGAGTTGCTTTGGGCCAGTTAAAGTGTACTTTAAAGTGTTCTCCCCAATGTTCTGGCCACCTGTCCTGGTGGTGGGTTATCAGCCTCCCATCCTTTCCCGGGATCGTTTCATTCACCATTGTCTTCTTCTTGCCGATATACTGAATTAGCCAAAATAGTTGCCAGGTTTTAACCAATACTGATGTCTTCTCCATCTCCCTCGTTTTTGCTATCAACCGCTGTCTGCAATTGATGCGAAGACTCTTGGTCAGTTTATGCTGGAGTTGCTTTTTTTCTTCATTACTGTCACAGTTTACTGGAATCAGTCTTCTCGCATCAATCAGTTTGGATGCCGTTTAGGAAATCCAATGAGGTTTTCTAACTTTCGGGTGTAGGTTAACAATGTCGTTACCGGTGTTTTTCCAGCAGACTTCATAATACGCCAGGTTTCCTCAGGATGAGCATTGCTGTCACTTTCAGATAACTGCCTACCTAAATGCACGCTCGGGGTCTTTATCTTTTAATCGGGTACAAATAAGTTCCACTTCGCCTATTTCCTGCTACTAGTAAAGCACAGACATACATAATCGGAATCCAAACAAGTACTCCAGAAACAGCGTCATCCTCCACTGGTCCTCTCTAACGATGGCTAATAGCCCTGTGATCTATCTGTCCCCATCGTTGGTTTGAAGTTCGCGGACACCACATGAGGCAGTGTCCCTTCTTATACTCAAAGTTAGTGCTGGCTAGAAACAAGTGACTGTCAGAACAAAACTGCAAAAAACCGTAACCGTTATCGGTTAGTTGATCTCTGATTCCGTAAATACCTCCAAGAAGCCCTTCTGATTGGCTCAACTTCCCTACCTGAGAGTTATCCAACGGTTTTTCTTTCTTTTTTTCTTTTGCCCACACCAAGCATTCAAGTCAGTCTTTGATTTCTGATAGAAAATTTATCATCTGTTTAGTAAGTTAATAAGTCGTTCAAAAGTACTCATAGTCACAAAAAATTTTAAAATTATTGTATAAAAGTCACTTGTTTTCCTATTCGTTTGTCTGCTTGTTTATTTTATACGTTAAGTACGACTAAATCCTTAACAAAAGAAAGCTAAATTAATAACTGAAATCAGCCATCCATCCAAATCAACGTAAGACTATGCATCACTGCGTAACGGTCCGAGTTGCCACACCTCATTTCAGTACATCAAATAAAAGCTCAATGAAGTGGAGGGTGAAGAAAAGAAAATCCAGTCAAAAGAAATATAATGTACAAAAAGAGAGAAAGGGAGAATGATAAAATGGTGAGATTCAGTATAGCGTCATTAAAATGAGGATAATGTGTGTATACATCTACACCACTGACATCGGTCCTGAGCCATCAGACCACCTAGAGTCAGTCTCCAACCACTGGTTCCTCTTGTTCGGCTGACCCCAACCGGCTGGTCTGCATCACTCCACTTGGTTCAAACCAATAGTCAAAAACTTCATACACTGATGCCATGTTTCAGTCTGGTTACCTCACCTCGGGCCTTTTTCTAGCCTGGATCTACTTCAGCCAACATTGTGTGACGAGACAATCAGCGACTAGGCATACGTAACAAATGCCCCGACCATCTCAGTCGATGAAAATTCATAACCTCATCAACAGACTTACCTCTTCTCCTTAAAAATATACCCCTTACTTCTGCATTACTCACATAGTGACACCACGGAATACGGCCTATACTAAGAAGGCAGCGATGGTGAAACATTTGAAGCTTTCTCATGTCTTCCTTCAATGGCCACGTTTCACAGCCATACAGTTGGACAGACCAGACTGCTGTGCAGGTGCAGTACACGCGACCTTTAATAAATGATCGGATATCATGGCGGCGCTACAGTTGGTGTAAGTTGACAAAAACCAGCCCAGCCATCTGTATCCGTGCAGAGATTCCATCTGCCACTGAGCCACCAGGACTGATCCCACTTCCTAGGTAGGTGAGGTGGTCGACACACTCAGCCGCTACATTCTCTATTCTTAGCCGAGGCACCATTGATGACCGATCCTGGAGCAAAATTTTGCACTTTGGTGGTGAGAAATGCATTCCAAACATTCTCAAATTCCCACTTAGTCTCCATAGAACTCCGCGTCTTGTCAGCGTCTTCACTTAACAAGACTATGTCATCTGCGTATTCTTGGTCCAACGAAAATTCTCCTGCCATTAGGTCAACCTCTGTGTAATCAGGTGACGAGAGGGAGACCTTTATAAGAATATCTGCGATAAAATTGAATAGGAATGGAGAGAGTGGACAGCTTTGACGAACACCACTTGACGAGTACAGCTCCTCGGACATTTCACCATAAGCTTTAACACATAGACAAGTGTTCTAGTAGGGGGCCTTCGATAAGGTGGTGTACTTACCTGGCACACCTTTCAGTGAGAGAAATTGCCATAAGAATTCTCGATCACCGGACTTGAATACCCCCTTCAGGTAGAAAAAAACAGCTGTTGTAGGACGTCAATAACTGAAATAATTTTATGTAATTCATTTTCCAGGTTTATACGGACTGACTGGTTTCAAAGTAGTAGGGATTACGAACTGACATAGTTTAGACAGCCAATGAAAGCCTGAGAGCACTGGATAACTGTTTCTACGTAGCATGAAATCTCTCAGTAGTGCACACCTACGCTACCATCGTGGATTGAACTCAGGAAAACCAGGTTTGCAACGATCATGTTGTCATTTAACCACTAGACCAGAATCCAATGGTTTACATTCTCCTACTACTAAGAATTCGCGATACCCTACGACCATTACCCAGTGTCATCAGAGAGTATTTGTACTCAAACCCAACTTGGTGGACCTCACAGGTCACGGTTACTCATTAGAATTTTCTGAAGTCCCTCTCAAAGCATGTTAGCAGGGACGAATAGAAAGTAAATTTATTTGACCGGTTAACTAAACTTAGCATATAGTCTATGTATAACGTAATCATTCACTCCATTTAGTAATATGTTATGCAGAATGAGAAACTGTACATAACCAGATGGATTAAAATACTAAACTTACCGTGAATATGACCTTCATAATCTGGTATCATACCTTCTTGTCGAAATATTCTTGAACTGTGATGTTTACTACTTGGTGTTGGTGGTGGAACTGGAGTTCCAGTTCTTGGATATCTGAAACGGGAAAGAAACAAAGCCAACAGAATTGGAAGCAAAGTGAAGTAATTACAAACGATTTGAGAAAAGAAACAGTAGAAGCAAATGAAAAATCTGGAATCAAATCAAGTATGTATTTTGGGAACATTTAACTCTAGGAATGTTCACTCCGCTTAAGTAGCTAGCAGGAACCAAGGTGTTTTAAACAAATTGGCTGTCTGAACTAAATTAATCCCGGTACACTGCTGATGAACTTGCCTCTAGATGGGTGAAATGATCGCCTGGTGCTGATATCATCTTTATTTGGCTACCGAGCACTATGGATCAATGTGAGTAGTTTATAACAACTCATTTCAATCAGTAGTATATTTTGTACAGCTTTATATGAATATCCATAAAATATTTTTAAACATTTTGATGATTAAATGTGAATACATCTACATCCCTGAGAATGATGCAAAGTCATACCAAAAAGACCACCAGACCATTAGTCGGTTATATCTTAACCTTGAAATCAATGCGTGGTATTTAACAAATTAAATAACTCTACTAGTGATGGACAGTGATTAGCAGTGGAATCCAGGACGCGCGTTTCGTCCTGTTTAGGACTCGTCAGCCAAATGCACCTGCCTTCTAGTAAGTGGTATTGTTCCTCTCAAGACTTGAATCCGAGACAGGCCGCTTCAAAAGCTAGGGCCTTATCCACTAAACCACTGTCACGATGCGCATGTTTTTATGTTGTTATTTGTATTATCTCGTCTCTGACTGAACGGAATTCGGTCAACTCAGCGACTGGATAATACAGGGAGCAACATAAATTAAATTATTCTACCTAATTTAGACTACAAATTTCCTCTGTGAATAAGACTGTAAGTTGAAATGAGATTCTAACGACAGTCTAACTAGCAATCTCAGTGTGTAATTTCCAGCGTTTCCTGTAGACAGAAAGCAGACCTCTTGCACTTATCCGATACTTATAAAAAAAGGTGCTAAGAGTGCACAAAAATAATCATTCAACTCACTTATCCAAGTTAGTCATAGATGTATCAAGGTTATCAAAATGATTTATGCATTCCTCTCGAAAAGTTTCCAAACCACTTCGTGCTGCTTCATGAAAACGTTTCGCTAAACCAGCTTCTGTAGAATCTACACGAGGAACAAAACCTTTATAACCTGGAATAGGTGGTTCAATTGGAGATTTAACTGAGTTAACACTAATATTCTTCTTGGCTACATCATCAGTCCATAAGTTCAGGTGATCTCTAACCAAGGGATCACCAGTTATTTGATGAAGATGAGGAAAAAAATTAGCCATTTCTTTCAGTTCATTTCTTCTTTGTTCAATACACTGATATTCTCTGATAAATTCATCTACACATTCATTTGATAGATTTCTGTATGTAGCACCAAATTTAAAATCCATATACGGTACATCGCCTAAATAGGAAATATATGGAATATGAAGAATGTACACCTACCAGAATATCCTGGTATCATTCCTTCAGTGTATTTATTGTCACCTGTAGGTTTCGGTAACATTTTTCGAGAGACTTGATCACTAAAATTCGATTGAATGGCTCCAGTTTTATCATTGCCGATAACAGGATAAATATGATGTATTTTCTAAGAAAATATTGGTTTATATATAACTAATGAATAAGCATTTCTTACTTGAGTTTTTGGACCATCATAATATGGAAGCTCCTAAATATGTTTGTCTCATTTCTTTAATTCTTATCATGATTGACTTACTTTAGCAATGTTTGCTGTTTCCTTTCCAAAAGAATGTCCATATCTGTATTTAAATTGTGGACAAAATCCCATATATCTAAATAAACAAAACAATAAGAATATTAGATTAAGCCTTCCTTTCATGAAGTTTGTTTAAATCTACCTGTTCTATGTTATCCTTAACGAATATATCCAAAAGATGTATAATATGTGTAAACCTTGTGCATATAATACATACGACTACTGACATTTCAGTAACATTAACTAGAGAGTCTGCAACGCTTACGACAATTCCCTCTCTGGAGGTTAGTTAATCCCTTGTCCAGTTAATCTATTCTATTGCTTCTTCTACACCACAGCACATAACATGAGTTTTGTAACGCATTCAAAATCTTACTTACTCCCTTTCAACTCCTAGATAGCCTTGTCTTCTCATTGAGCATTATTACCTACTGTTTACTCTTCTGATTGCTCTTCTATGACGATTTAACTACTGGCAAGATGATAGAAGAAATTCACACAAAACCTTACACAGAAGTGCATCTGTTCAAACTATCACACTTTACAGTGGATATGACTGATATCGAAACAGACAAATTTGTATGAAAAGAGAGAGAACTTAAAAATTAAGGTTAGTTAAAACACTCAAGCTTTAAAAGATGTTAAACAATGAATAATTCTACACCATCGTGATCGATTTTCACACATTTCATCAAGAGTTCTAAACCACTGATTCCTATCGTCTTGGAGACAGTAACCAGGTAGTCCATATCTCCTCACACGGCTCAGACTAACAGTTATAGATTTCATGAACTAATGCTACGTCTCAATCTAACAACCTTAAATCTTATTCCAATCTAATCCAACTTCTAGTATTGCACGTCCAGGTCAGATAGAAAATCTATCAACCACAGTATTATTTAATGTATGAAGCTTCAAATAATTTATTGCTAATTATCAAATAAACGTGGTAAATGAAAGTTGTTACAGGTTCAAATATTAAAAAGCTACATTTTCAATGGTCAATTTGTTTATCTGACTCAAATGTACTAACTTGTTTCCTCAATAATTAAGAGGCTTTGTCACCCGGAGAAGTTTCTCATGATTGGGTGAGATTTTCTGATTGTCACAACGGTAATAGATTGGTTATATTTTATCAACAGATTCAGAGGAAGAAGTTTATTATAGGATTCTTTTCTAATTGGTAAGTTGCAGAAATTTCTAAACAATGTGGATCTCGCCTTGTTTGTCTTCTTTGTCATCATCGATTATACCAAAGACACGCTTCAACTTATTAATATGCATAGAACTGGAATGATTGATCCAAATCAGATAAGTAATAGGGATGAAACTTGGCTATTGCAATGTATGCAGTTGCATAGACAAAGTAACAGTCGTAAAGACTAGTATACTTAAGCTGAGAGATTAACAGGAGGACTATATAAACTGGCTGTCCGAAGTTGTGTGATTACTTTGATATGATTATAAGCAATAAATTGTTTGCGAAACGCCATCTAGTAAATAATACTGTATTAATGCGTGATATATGAAATAAATCAATCAAAAATGAAACTACTTCTGCACCGCTCCTACTCTCAAATATTGAAATAAGTTATTTCGCATTACATACAACATGTAATCCAAATATTGGAGGAAAATAAGTCCCCTTTATGAATTTGGATTACATAATTAGAAGACGTAGATTACCTGAAAAATGTGATACACGTTGGCAACGCACATCTCGAACAATCTCATCTTATACACATTTACTTCTCATATCATATTTATATGAAAACTAGGAGTGGGGGGGAAAGACATATATGACATAGAAGAATTCAATAATAAGGAAGATATTGAAAGGAAAACAGTGATAAGGTTTGATAACAACCTTGGCAATATCATAAAACAAGCACTACCAGGGGCGTATACTTAAGTTTGTTGAAGCACTAGCCACCAACAGGTTTAACCCCTTTTTGGTATGTTTAACAGAAATGTCATACAGTGAAGGATCAGTATCATTTACTGGATAACGTTTCGGACACGATTCATTCTCCATATTCATATCAGGTAATTCCACAACAACTTTGAGAAATAATTTATATATTCCTAATTTTCTCTCCTTCTCTGTGATGACAAGGTTAGTAGAATTTTCCATATATCTGGGACAGGTGTAGGATCATTTTTATGGCTGTATGTATTTGGTATTGATTTGATAAACAACGATTCGGTTATCAATCTCTCCCTCAACCCACTCAACTAAATTAGTTTTTAACGCTGTCGTTCTATCTCACCCTACTGTGTGATTGTGTGTAATTTCGTGTAGAACTATGGCCGAGCTTTTTCTAAATCTTATTAGGATCTACTAAGATATTCTTGATATGTCTAATTTCTTGTCGTAGGTCTTCTGGCCTAGAAGTAAGCTTTGCGCCCTATCACTCAGACATTCAACTAAGAGATGTTATCGAAGCAATTAAGCAAAACAATCTGGTTTACCGAATCCCTTGTAATGATTGCGAGGTCAAATATATAGGTGAAAGCAGTCGACTAGGGTCGATTAGAATAACAGAGCACAAAAACTTAGCTAAATCAAGATTACTACATCCTAATAAGATTTTAAAAAATCTAGAGAAAAGCTCGGCATAGTTCAACACGCAATTACACACAATCACACAGTAGGGTGAGATAGAACGGAGAGAGAGGGAGAGATTGATAACCGAATCGTTGTTTATCAAATCAATACCAAATACATACAGCCATAAAAATGATCCTACACCTGTCCCAGATATATGGAAAATTCTACTAACCTTGTCATCACAGAGAAGGAGAGAAAATTAGGAATATATAAATTATTTCTCAAAGTTGTTGTGGAATTACCTGATATGAATATGGAGAATGAATCGTGTCCGAAACGTTATCCAGTAAATGATACTGATCCTTCACTGTATGACATTTCTGTTAAACATATCAAAAAGGGGTTAAACTCCAACAATTCAAATTATTTCTATTGAGCTTTCGAAGGACCAGATGTGATCTTACAACAGCCTACAAGATCATTCACCAAGTGGACCACCCAAATAGGTTAACGTTATTGGTCCAAAACAGACAGTCCCTACTCGCGTACTCTACCATAGGGCAAAGACGAGAGTGAGATCAAACTTCTTCTCACAAAGTATGTGCCTTATGGGACTCTCTAAAGAAGGAAGTAGTCACAACTATACAAGTCAACTCCTTCAAACGATGACTGGATGAGTGTGTGAGCCCAAATGGCTTACCACCAACATTTGTCAGTAGCAACTGATGATATGCTCTTCCATCCCTGTATTCCCCAACACTCATATCTGCAACAAAACCAATCCCTTCTCCATGTTATCACTGGTAACATTGATCTTTCCATGAGTACTTTACACTTCTCTTTTTCTCATTCCTCACTCACTCTATTTCTAGCACTTTCTAACTAATCCTTAACACTGACTTGCAGGTGCTTACAAAAACAGGAATTCTGCATCCACCAAAGGGGTATAACCGAACAAAAAGAACCAAGCCTCAAGACCTGGAAGCTACAGCTAAAAAACTACAAGTTTCCTTTATTCGCACCATCGATGTTGGATGTTCTGAAAGCATCACGTAGTTTCTCACATTCTTAAAGTGTTCTCAAACTTTGGTATAAAAGAAAGAAGAAACGTTCTACTGATTAAAAATGGGTTTGTAATTGCTTAACTACACGCCACATTACTATTCCTAGGATACCTACCTGTATAGGATTGTGAATTTCTGTACTAGCTAACTGACTGAACTGCTATCATCCAAATTACACTCTAATTTGTGTTAATGTCCGAATCGAGAACAGATGCTTATGTAACACTAGCTGCCTCATTTCCTTTTTATGCCTTCGGTACTGTTATTGTTAACACTATACAGATACAATAATCATTTAGAAAAATAGGTTGCATAGAAGGTGAATTCGCTGAAATATTTCATGCTGAAAATTTCATGTTGTATCTACGTACGGTTATAAGCCAATTATTTTCATTCTATCTATCTGCTTTATAATGTTATAGCATGCATAAAATAGGTGAAAGTATACTATATATATATATATATATATATATATATATATATATATATATATATATATATATATATATATATATATATATATATATATATACAGTATACTGACGTTGTTGCGTAACTATAAGAGTAGACTATTGAAGAAGACAAGATGTTTATAGACTACATTTTCTCTTTCACTTACATGTTTACAAGACAGATTTGTCAACTGAACATTACCATGAAGAAGGCGCTAATGAATACAATGACAACATTCTGTATTCCATGTTTCCTGTGATATCAAACTATACAAAGTTATGTGAGCGAATAAACAACTTGGAGAGGAAAGTTAGTACAAACACTCAAAGCGTGAATACATCTCTTCCACTGAGTTAAAATTTCAAAAGCATGTTACCAAGATTCCTCAACCACTGGTTTCTATTGTCTCATTGACCCCAGCCACGTAATTTAGATCTCGCTACACGGCTCAGAACAACAGTGAGGGACTCCATCGATTGATCTTGCGTCTTGATCTCTCTACCCTGAACCCTCTCCCAACCTAATCAAACTTTGCTTAGCATCACATGTCGAAGAATTTGGTAGTTTGACATACACAGTGTATCTTCAAGATATCTCAGTCAAATAAGGATAGTCAATGTGTATCGTACACAGTTCTTATGTTTATTTTTGTTTATACTTACTGAAAACAGCCCAACAGCACCAGATAACGACATTTTATCCAATAACAAACTGCTAGCCACTGCCCATCATTACTAAATATAGTTAAAAGACAGTCCATATCGAGGCATCCGCATAGGAGCCCTTATGCCAACAGAGGCTGATCAATTCGGTCCTATCAACGACGGTGTAATACAAGCAATAACACTAAAACAAACTAAATACTCTTGAATATCAAAGAAATGAGTCATTGTTTACTTTACCAAATAACATGTAGTTAATCATAGCCTGATGAAATAAACTGAAGGGTATTGGACAGTTTAACTTGATCTAAATTGGTTAACTAACCTCGCCTGGTTAACTAGTTTA